TTCCCAGGCCCATTTCCTGCCCTGCAGAGCAGACTGCTTGTGCTCTCTCACACTCTCTCTGTCAAATAAATAAAATCTTGAAAATAAAAAAAAAAAGGAAAGGCTCTCTAAAGAGGTCACATTTGACCTGAATGAAGGACTGATCCATGCAGATATCTGGGGAAGTGGGATTCCAGGCTGGGGGAACAGCAAGTGCAAAGGCCCTGAGGTGATTTCCCAAAGGAGACATGCCTGGCTCTCTTCGGAACCCCACTCAACTCCAAGATCTAAGTAATAGCTGTTTCCATTTTTTGGAAGTCTGGGCCCCCAAAAGGAAAACCACTCTGTCCACTAGCTCCTAGCAACAGATTCTCTAGTGCAGCCTGTCCAATAGAACTTTCTGCAATGATGGAAATGTTCTATATCTGTACTGACTATCCAATATGGTAGACACTAGCCACATGGGGTTATTGAGCACTTGAAATGTGGCTAGTGCCAGTTAGCAAGTGAATTTGAATTTTATTTAATTGTAATTTAAATATAAATAGCCAAATATGGCTATTATATTGGACAGCATGGCTAAAAAGTCTAGACCAGAGCTGTCCAAAAGAAATATGATGCAAGCCAGAAATGCAAGCTACATATGTAAATTTTTCTAGTAGCCATATCAAAAAGAACATATGAAATTAATTTGAACAATATATTTTTAATGCAAAATACACAAAATGTTATTATTTCAACATGTAATCAATATAAAAAGACTACTGATGAGCTATTTTACATTCTTTCATAGTAAGACTTTGAAACCTGCTGTGTATTTTCCACTTACAGCACATCTCAATCCAGGTTGGTCACATTTTAAGAGCTCAATAGCCGTATGTGGCTCATAGTTACTGTATTAGACAGCCCGGGCCCAGACCACCTCCAGGTGTACATATCAGGAATTCATGCACGACACTGTCCTATCATGTCTTTCTGCCAGGACTGTGGGCATGGTCCCTGGGCTGGCAGCCTTTGGGAAGGATGTGTCAGGGCTTGTGCCTCAGAGGGGAAGACACAAGACTAGCTTGGCTCTGTCACTGACTGTGCCAGAGGGCTTTGTCCCCAACCCCAGGGCTTTCCATTTTCTGGAGGTTAGGGGGTGGTGTGAGACGCTCTGGCACAGCTGGGCAGAAGAGCACCAAACCAAGGCTTGAGACTGCCCTCGCCTGCCCCCTTCAAGTCTACAGCCCCTCCTCTGGGAGATAAACCCACCTCCACGAAGATCAGCCGATGCAGCAAGGTAGGCAAAGTTATCCAGACTGATGACATCGATGATGGGGCTCACCACACGGGTGTGGTCCTGGAGGGCAGGGAACGAGAGATGGTGTGAGGCCAAGGACTCTGTGAAGAAAGGCCCACATGCCTGGACTGTGGGCAGAAGTTCTCTCCGAGCCACGGGGCACTCAGCCCTTTCTGCAGGATGCCGCAGGTTCTTGGGAGCTGTCCTGCAGCCCCACAGCCAGGCTCCTGGAAGATCCCGCCTGGGCCCCATGGGCACAGTGCTCTCCCAGCCTCTTCCCCTCACATCATGCTGAGCCCTGCTGGGATCACACCTCCTCAGTGAAACCCTGCCAGATTGCAGCAGCCTGAGGATTTCTTCCTCTTTTCAGCTGCTCTCACAATTACAGTCCAGACAATTCCTGGGGCACTGAATCATATGCTGTCTGAGGTGGCTCTTCTGTTGCTGGTTTGAACTATTGTTTTATTAATTGTCATCCACCTTTGTACATCTTCCCAACTGGACCGCCAGCAGCGTGAGGGCAGGGACTCCGCCGTCCCTATGCAACCTGGCTGTCACTCTTCCATGCCACATCTGCTTCAAGGTCAGATTCATTACTCCCTTCACCCTCCTAGGCACAAATCCACCTCCAAAACATTGGTGGGTAATGTCAATTTTACTAAAAATTCGGGGGTAGAGTAGTGGTGTTGGTGGCTTATGTCATTCACCCTATGCAAAACTATCAATGGCCATCAGCCCTCTCTTGCCTCTCCCTCCACAGAGGGACCCAGACCAGAGCCTCTTCTCCCCCAGCACTCTGCGCTGACCCTCAAAATCCTCTTGTCTGCAACTTGGAGCCCAGCTCTGCCCCTCGGTTCACACCCCCTCTCAGGACCACGAAAGCCTGGGAGGAGGCAGAGCAGGGGAGACCACCCATGGTTTCCCACAGAGCTCTGTGGGGGCCTCGCCTTTGCCTTTTTATACACTTTTTTGTTCTGAGATATAATTCACATTTTTATAGCAATTTCATTAGCCGTAATTGACATGCGATAAAATTCACCATTTTAAAGTGTACAAATTTGGGGGCGCCTGGGTGGCTCAGTTGGTTAAGCGACTGCCTTCGGCTCGGGTCATGATCCTGGAGTCCCGGGATCGAGTCCCGCATCGGGCTCCCTGCTCGGCGGGGAGTCTGCTTCTCCCTCTGACCCTCCTCCCTCTCGTGCTCTCTCTCTCTCATTCTCTCTCTCAAATAAATAAAATAAAAAAAAATAAAAAATAAAGTGTACAAATTTGGTGGCTTACAATATATTCACAAGATTGTGCACCCATCACCCCTTTCTAATTCCAGAACATTTTCATCATCCCAACAAGAAACCCTGTACCTGTTAGCAGTCACTCCCCATCCTCTCTCCCTCCAGCCCCTGACAAGCATTCATCTTTCTGTTTCTAGGGCTTTGTTTTATTCTGGACATCTCGTATCAGTGGAATCACAGAACACGTGGCCTTTTGTGACCCGCTTCTTTCACTTAGGGAAACATTTTCGTCCACATTGTTGCACATATCAGTACTCCACTCCTTTTTATGGCTGACTAGTACTTTGTTGTATGGCTGTATTGACAGACATTTGGGCTCTTTCCACATTTTGGCTATTCTGAATGATACTGCCCCGAACGCTGCGGTGCAAGTTTTTGTGTGGAGTGTGTTTCCACTTCTCTTGGGTATATGCCCAGCAGTGGAAGGGTCATCAGGTAACTCCGTGTTTAAGCTTTTGAGGAACCGCAGGACTGTTTTCCAAAGCGGTTGCCCCATGTTACATTCTCACCAGCAATGAGTGAAAAGACTCCCACTTCTCCACACCCTCACTAGCCCTGGTCACTGTCCATCCTTTGGTCAAAGCCATCCTGTAGGTATCAAGCGGTATCTGACTGTGGTTTTGACCTGTGTTTCCCTCAAGGCTTAAAAATGTTGAGCATCTTTTCCTGTGCTTGTTGGCCATTTGTGTATTTGCCTTGAAGAAATGTTCATCCAAATCCTTTGCCCATTTTTAAGTTGGGTTATTTGTCTTTTTATGGTTGATCCGTGATTACTTCATCCTTCCCTCCACCTGTCCTACCCTCCGCCTTCTAGTGAAACACTGGCACGTGCTAGGGGCCCCCTGTCCTCATCTGCCCTTGACAAGGCCACACCCCCCTTCCTCCTTCTCAGGCTTCCCAGCCTGGACCCCAAGCTGCCCCCTGCCCCTGCACAGGACCCGCCTCCCCCGGGAGCAAAACCTCACCACCACTTGTAGAAGGAGCTTTACAGCTCACCCAAGCTCACATCCACATGAATTCTCACAACAACCCCGTGAGACAAATACTACAGTTACCCTCATTTTCAGAGGAGAAAGCTCACTCACATGATGTCACTCTGTAGGAAGCAGACCATTTAGGCTCCTACTCTGCCTATCCAATGTTAATGGCTGTTCACGCACCCTCATGCCAAGAACATGGTGGGCACGTCCCAAGGGACGGAGCTCCCGCAGGGACAGAGGGACTCACCTCCTTGACCCGCTGCAGCATGGGCTGTAGCCACTCGGTGTTCACTTCACAGTGGCTGTCCAGAAAGGTGAGCACAGCAGCTGTGGCCACATCTGCCCCACGAACGCGGGACCGGATTAACCCTGCCATAGGAGTGGACAGGGGTTGGTACTGGGACGGGGCCAGTTTGTTTCCCCACCATCCCTCAAAAGTCTCAGGGCTTTCAAGGCTTCCTCTGAGTTACTGTGATTGAGCTTTACTTCGCATGTGATTATTTCCTCCCTCCCGCCCTCTCTTTTCTCTCATCCACTCAGCAACCATCATTACTCCAGGCTCCTTCTCTGAATGCTCTCTGTGTACCAGATACTGTTCTGGGCTCTGGGGACACACCGATGAACAGTCAGGCATTAGTGAATGGAATGTGCAATCGAGTGTGTTTTGGTACCAAAAGAAAACCAGAAACCAAAACCCTTTCCTCCCTACCCCCCGGGATCTCCAAGCCGTCCCCTTCAGCTGCATCATCATGTGTGACCTCGTGAGAGGTGACCTCGTGAGAACCTTCTAGACTAAGACAGGCTGGAGTTAGTATGCCAGACCCTTCACGTACCTTAAGCATGTTATTTAACCTCTCTGAGCCTGGGTTTTCTCATCTAAAAGACTCAGAGAGAAAATAATCCCCACCTGCTGGGGAGAGCGCCCGGTGTCTAGGAGGCCGACACGTGCTAGATTCTGCTCTGCTTCGACCCCCACCCCAAACAGTCTTGCTGATGGTTCACCAACTGTCAAGGCAAACCCCAGGAAACATTATAGTCCTGGGCCTAAAGGTACCTACAACCCAGTGCTTGGGAGAAATTTCATTTCTCTCTGGCCTCTTCCATGCCAGTGAGCAGGTCTCCTTGGTCTGACTGGTCTTTCTTAATTATGCCCCTCACATCTCTCTCTCTCTTTCTCTCTCAAACCTTCAGTGGCTCCCTACTACCTGCCTTATCAAGTCTAAATGCCTTTCTCTGGCTTCCAAGGTCTTCTGCCATCTACCCTCACCCCACCATTTCCCCTCCTGACCAGACCCAGATTCTCCCAGGCAGGGAGGAGGAGAGGGAGGTTAAGGGTGGCCTCCCTCCTCCATGTTGGAATTCTGGCTCCTCTACTCATCCCCGCGGGCAAATTACTGAACCTCCTTAGGGCTCACTTTCCTTAGGTGCGAAGGAGGACAATGGGCTGTTAGGAAGAAGGAATGTGAGAACATAGGCAGAGTGGATGCCTGCTACAGGTGAGCACTCAGGGAGAGGGCTGTTAGTATTACAGGTGGGCCTGTGCCTGACCAGCACTCGTGCCGAGTCCACAAGCCTGGACTGCCCTACCTTGCTCCCTTCACCTGTTTCACTGCGCCCTCACCCAGGCAAAGCCTAGTCCCCCGTCACGTCCCTCTCCTGGGGTCTGCCCCCATATCACCATGACCAGTCTGTGCCTGTGGTGGGTCCTGACTCCTTGGCCTTACAATAAGCTCTCTGAGGGCAGGGACCAAGTTTCATACTTGTTTTGTGCTTCCTAGATTGCCATGTACAATCCTAGCTGCATATGGCTGATGCTCCAAAACACCTCTCGATTGGAAGTGAGGTGACATCTACTTTATAACGCCCAGGTGTCTGGGTGGCTCGGTCGGTTAAGCATCTGCCTTCAGCTCAGGTCATGATCCCAGCATCCTGGGATCGAGCCCCGCATCGGGCTCCCTGCTTGGCAGGGAGCCTGCTTCTCTCTCTCCCTCTGCCTGTCACTCCCCCTGCTTGCTCTTTCTCTCTCTCTCTCTCTGTCAAATAAATAAATAAAATCTTTTAAAAAAGTAATGTCCTTTGGTTTTCTTGAAGCATTTCCATAGTTTATCTCATTTAATCCTTACAATAGCCATGCAAGGCAGGAAGGGGACTATTATTAACTCCACTTCTCAGAAGAGATAACCCAGGCAGCCAGAAGTAGAGCGACTTGCCTACAGTCATGCCGTGGCAGAGGCTGACCCAAGATAGCAGAAGGGTCTTTCCACAGACCTTGGTCCTGGCCACCAGGAATGCAGCAGGCACATGCTGGCTTAGTGTGACATGGTGCCAAAAGGGAATGGGGAGGTGCAGAGGTCTAGACCAAAATGGGTCTGCAGTGGCACCCAGGATCCAAGAACTTACCTTCCCGCCGATCATTGCGCAGGCACTTGACCTTGGGGATCCTGGTCAGGAGCAGACAGTCTTCAGCTGAAGGTGAAGAGAAGGAAGCAAGCTCATTCAGATACGGGCGTCAGACCACAAGGGGTTTGGTCGCCCCTGCAAACTGCCCCGAGGATGTCTCACAGTAGGTCCAGGGAAAGGGATGGGGGTGGGGAGGTTCACAGGAACATGGTCATCTCTAATGGCCAAAGGATTGCCCTGTGCCTCACTCCCAGGCCAGACTGAGGAATACTCATGGCATTGCCCCCAGGGGGCACCAGAGAGCACCAGCAGGTCAGCGGGTAGCCAGGTCAACACCAGCGCAGCCACACTGAAGGGACAATCCTCAGCATTTGGCACTTGTAATAACAAAGGATGCTGCTGATGTTGCTTCTGTTCTTAAAAAATGTCATCTCACTGGTGTCCCATCAAAACAACACCTCTTTCCCCTTCCTTGGCACCTGGGAACAGGGTCAGGGAGGGCACCTAGAAAAGACTGAAGATCCCGTTGGGGCACCTGGGTGGCTCAGATGGTTGAGCGTCTGCCTTCGGCTCAGGTCACGATCCCAGGCTCCTGGGATCAGCCCCGCATCGGGCTCCCTGCTCGGCGGGGAACCTGCTTCTCCCTCTCCCTCAACTGTTCCCCCTGCTTGTGCTCTCTCACACTCTCTCTGTCAAATAAATAAAATCTTAAAAAAAAAAAAAAGATCCCGGTTGAGGGGCAGGGGTCAGCCCGTGATATCCAGCACGGCCCTGGGAGTGCTTGCCTCCACGCTCTGAGGAAATGAGAGTTTGGAAGGGTGTGAATAACAGGAGGTAGAAACTTACGATCTGAACTGAAGTCATCCACTAAGATGATCTCCTGGATCAGGTTGGCTGGAGTTCGGTTCAGGACACTGGAGTGATGGGGACACAGTGATGGGGACAGAGGAGCCTGGATTTAGGGGTCACCTTCCATTTACCTCTCCCTGCCCCAGGACTGCCCCACCACCCAGCTCAGGGGCCGGCACACTAGCCGCGAGCAGCTTCTTGCAAAACTCCCGGGCCCTGAGGAGCGGCTGAGGAGCGGTATGGTCCTCAGGCTCTTCCAAGGACCTGGCTGACCCTGCTGCCTGGACCTGCAGGCACCTGGGACCTGGTCCAGATGGGTTGTGGGAACTGCCCCAGTTTCGTTGTCAAGACAGGACCTGTAGCTGCTCTGACTGCTTAGGCTTAACAAGTCCTGCCAGGGCCAGGGGTGGTGGGGGGGGTGGGGGGGGTGGGACAGGACACCACCCAGCTAGGCATGGAACTGCCGGCCTGCTTTCCTTCCCACCATCCTTCCTCTTCCTCTACTCCCTGGGAAAGGAAACCCAAGCTTCTTTAATCCCTGGAATACTCCAAATCCGATTCTCATTAAAGAAATGGGGCAAGTAGGAGTTAAACTGGACCGCAGGGCCAAGTTAAGGAGGACAGAGGGGCACCTCCCTGTGAATCGTTGGCTGGCACCTACTGGGCTGACGGCCATCCACCTGAGGCTTCATGTCCATCCCTGACTCCCTTGGCTCCTGACCCTTGGATATCTGCCTTTGTCCTGGGGACCTGACCCTGTGCTTGTGCATCCTAATAACTAGATTGCTGGGGTCTCTCTGACCCTGATTCACCAGCTCCAGCTTTTCGGAAGGATAGGACTCCCCCTCCCAGGGGCTGACCTCTTCACACCATCTGGCCCCGCACCCTGTCTCAATGTGCGCCCCTGCCGGGGGCTTGGCAGATTCTTCCGGAGGCCTTGGGAAGCAGCACCATTGAGGCGAGGGTCCTGAGATGGGGCTCACCTCTTCACAGTGCGCAGGAGGGTGGAGCGGGCCTCATTGTGGAAGGTGATGATGACGCTGGTGGCCGGCAGGTCCGCAGAGTAGGAAACAGACGGGCAACTGCGAATGGAGCACAGAGGTCAGAGGGCACTATGGGAACACCCTTAGGACAGGCTTGAGGCTTCTCTCTGTCCAGCCTGCTGCCCCCAGGAATACCGCTGTGGGACAGGGAAGGCAAGCCTGAAGCCAGGGTGCGGGGCTGCCCTCCACACCCACCCTCCGCCCCACTCCGCCCATCCGGCCTGGAGCCCGCGGAGGGAAGCCACAGGTTGGGGCGCTTTCCCTGGCCTGGTCACCTTTACCAAAGACCTAGAGCCCCCAGACCCCCCCATCACTGAAGCGTTCAGAAGGGTTCTGACAATCGTGTCTGGGTGGGCACCGCTCCGGGCCCTGGGGACCCAGCCCTGGGCCAACAGACGGAGCTCCCTGCCTGCCAGAGAGAGACAAAACGCGGGAGGCAGGGAGACCAGCCTCTGTTCAGCTACAGCTGCAGCACCCTGTGGCTTCGTTCTCTTCCCCCGGCTCGCAACACTGGAGGCTCTGGAGAGGAATCACCCCTCTGCTATAGTCCTGTGACCCCCTCCCTCTCGCTGCCCAGCCTGGACAGCTGGCTGGTGACCCGGGGCGGGGGGAGCCTCTCTCCTCTGGGGGCCCTGGCCCCCCCCTGGAGCGCACAGAAGCCCCGAGAAGACCCCGAGCACTGCCTGCCAGCCCGCTCCCTCCCCCTTCTCCGGCTCACACCACATTTTCGGCCTTGGCTTCCCCCTCCTCCGGAAAGGGAATTAAAACGATCCATTCCTGCCAGCCTCCATCCCTGCCGCTTCTGCGGCTGCTTTTATGCGTGCTCCTGGGGCCGGCGGGAAGGCAGCTGGTTTTCATGGCAATCCTCTTTATTACAATTGCGCTCTGACTATTCCAGCAGGGTCTGTTTTCTCATTCCGGCACTCACGCCCCTGCAACGGCGTCTTACAGCCGGATTCCCAGGCCCATTTCCTGCCCTGCAGAGCAGACGGGGTCAGAAAGGCAGGAGTCCCACCAGCCTGGGACCCCCATGGGGGGAATGCTGAGAGGCTTCAGAAGCATTCTCCCTGAGAGGGGACGTAGGGAGTAGGAGGGGTGAAGGGGTGGAGGGGTGGAGGGGGAGGGAAATTCACCTCTGCCCCCCAACCCCCGCCCAGAAGCCAGGCTTCCCAAGTGCATCCTCCCAGAGGCGTGCAGATTTGGGGGTGGGAGTGGGCTTGGCCTGCTGGGACGGGGTGGGGGGGAGTGCTGGGAGAAGCAGCTGCTTCCTGGGTTCCCAGCCCCCCAGCACTGACCTCCAGGGACCCACGTCCTGACTGGGAACCCCAACCATCTGGTGCCCAGGAAGGAGAGAATCTGGATAGTGATGCCCATTCTCCACCTGAAAGTGGCCTACCTACCCATACCCCATCTGGAGGGTAGACTTGACCTCCCCCCCACCCGCCCCCTCCAACTCTCTCTACTCTGCATTTCTCTGGGATTTACAACCATGATGATGGCGATTTATCTGGCTCTCAGAAGTCAAGGGCCTTTGAAGAGGTTTGTCCCAGGCCTGTGTTTCAAGTTTGGGGTGCTGGTGGGGTTTTCTTTGTGATGCTGGTAGGTCTGTCTTGCCTGGTCTCTCTGTTCCCCTTGAGGGGGCTCCCCAGATTGAGGGCTGGACTAGGAACTAGCCTGACTGTTTGGAGGCCAGCAGAAGCTGCTATCCGGAGTGCCAAGGAGAAGAGCAAGGCTCTCCTCCAGCTCGTGAAAGCCAGCCCCTCCGTTGCTTCACCTACATGCACGTGCACCGGCGCGCGCGCGCGCACACACACACCCCCCCTGATCCCCCTCAGGCTTTTTTTTTTTTTTTTTTTTTTTAAAGATTTTATTTATTTATTTGACAGAGAGAAAGCACATGAGATGGGAGTAGGGTCAGAGGGAGAAGCAGACTCCCTGCCGAGCAGGGAGCCCGATGCGGGACTCGATCCAGGGACTCCAGGATCATGACCTGAGCCGAAGGCAGTCGCTTAACCAACTGAGCCACCCAGGCGCCCCCACCTCAGGCTTCTGAGAGGGCTGGTAGCAACACGGGGGTGGGAAGGGAGGCTGGCCTCACGAAACCACCCCTGCCTCACACTCGAAGAGTCTCATTTTAAGACCTGTGTCACCCCAAGAGGAACTCCTCCTTTAAGTTCTTCAGTGAGCACCTGAGAAGCTATGAGGTGGTCTTAGTGGGAGGGAGGGCAGAGGTGATCCAGGCTAACCCTGGATCAGTTCAGAGATTTGGATCCATAGAACCTCTACACCTTGGGGTCAAGGTTGGCCATAGCTGGGGTTGCCAGTTGCCAGGAAAGGTCTCCAAGTAGAGCTGTGTGGACATAGCCTTGTGGGCCCCACAGTGTAGGTGGACTCCGCACCAGCACTGACAGAAAGAACTTCTGAGACCTGAGCTGGCCATTGGACCTGTGGGGAGACCTTTCCGAGTAGCAGGATTATTGTCATACTGGCAGTGCTGGGGTTCCAAGACAATGAGGACAGTCTGGGGCTCCCCCAACTCCATGTCCATCTCCTCTTGACAGGCGGCCAAGCCCACCAGATTTCAGGCTCACCTCCATGAGTGACATGGAAGGTGCTAGAAGCATGTCCCTTTCTGCACCCTTATCTCACACATACCTTTTGTGCTGTGGAGTAGCTGCTTCAGAAGGAAAAGCAATCTTGACCTGCATCATCCCCACCTACCCTTAGACCAGGACCAGCCGGGTGCTAGGTACATAGCTGGTGCAACACAGCCCGTCGGTCACTCAAAAATGCAGGCACATGGGTGAGTCTGCTCCAATAGCCCCTCACTGCCCTGTCGGCACAGAGCACAGAGGAAGCTCCCAGACCAGCCTGGGTTGGCAAGAAACCTTCCCCGGAGGAGAGGACACCGACGGGAGTCTTGAAGGTACAAGTGGGGGGTGGGGGTTCAGGCGGGGGAAACAGTGTGTGCATAGACAAGGGCGAGGGGTCAGGAGGGTAGAGGACTGCGGGAGCATTAAGTGCTAGGCGAAAAGGAGCAGAGGTTCAGGGCCTGGAGGAGCAGAGGTTCAGGGCTTGCACTTCAGGGTAAGGACCTCAGACTATTCCCATAGGTGAGGGCAGGAAGGGGGACCTGGAGGTGGCGACTATAATTCAGACAGGACACATCAAGGGCCTGAACCAAGGAGGGGGCACTGATGGCTTGCCCAAGGTCAGTCACTCACACCGAGTGCAGTCAGAGTGGGGAAATCATCATGGAAGCTGTCCTTGGTCCTGCTCTGGGGCCTCTCCCACCTACCACACTGGGAGAGCCAAGAGCAAGGTTGGGGAGCATTTCTGGGAACTGCTGAGGAAGCGGGGGCAGCGGGGCAGGAAGAGGAGAACCCCTTGCACAGTGCAGGCAGGGTTGGTGGCCCCTCTTCACCTCAGCCACCGTCAGCAGGCTCGCCCGCCCCCTCCGGCCTCCCTGTGGTCCCCTGGCAGCCCACTCTCACTGGGACTCCAGACTGAGGTGCTGAGTGGCCTCCCCGGTGCCCGCTGAGTCTCCTTGGCTGTCACAGGCCCTCAGGAGGTCAATGAAACAGAGGAGGCAAGAGAACAACTGAGGGTGAGTGTGTGAGGGTCTCAACAACCAGATGGAGTCTGAGGAAATCTCTCTCATTCCTTCAGTCCCTGGGACTGCTGACAGGGGCCGGCCGTGCCCTCCATGGCGTGATGGAGGCTGTACCTGTAATGGCGCGTGTCCCGGATGGCTCGGTCTGGGCTCAGCTTGTCGCTCTCCAGCTGGTTGAAGGCATGCTGCCTGTAAGGGTCCTCTCCAGCCTTCAGCTGCTTGGCTGCCAGGTACGCCTTCTCATCGAAGCCTCTGGAGGGTGTTCCTGTCACCTGAGCCAAAGGTCAGCATCAGAGGGGTCGCAGGCGGGAGGATAAAGCCGCCACTGTGGGGTAAGCACTGATCCCGCCGGCAGGAGCCTACTGCCTTACCTCGTCTGTACCTTATCCCAACTCTGTGAGCCGGGGATCGGTATTTCCCCCCTTGTACAAATAGGGAAACCAAGGCTCACGAAATTAAAAAAAAAAAAAAACAAACAGTACCCAAACTGCTCTTAAAAAATGAAGGCTTTTTTTTTTTTTTTAAAGCCCAAGGTCAAAGCTAATGAGTCACAGGTTCTAGATTCAAACTGGTTGTTCTGACCCTGAAAGTCATTCTCTTGCCCAATGCTCTTTGCTGGATTTGGAGAAGGTGACCCCCGAGATGAGGTGTCCTGAGGGGACCACCAGCCAAGCTGGAGGTCGCCAAGCAACCTACAGTGTCCTAGGGATAACCTTGGGCCTTACCCTGGACTAGGCATGCAGTAAAACACCCGGGGCTTGGACAAGCTGCTGTCCAGAGAACTACCTGTGAGGACAAGCGGGCCCTTCCAGGCCCGTGCCAGAGCTGCCAGAACACCCAAATGCAGACAATGGTGCGTCTTCTCAGGGACTGGCGCTTGCTGCTGAGATAGGCTCATGTCAGAGCTCCTGGCTCACCGGTGCTAAGTGCCGGGGAGGGATGGATCACACAGGCCATGGTCCAGCCTCTCTCCTCTTAGCCACACCCCACTCTGTACTCCCAAAGTCCCCCCATGAAAGACCCTGGGGAAGGACACATCTGAGATGAATGGAGAGATAGATGGATCCTGACATCTCATTATTTGAACCAAACTGCGGGCCGGATGTTCCCCCAGAGTGCCTTGAAATATCATCAACAGTGAGCGCATCCTGACTGCAGCCCTCCCACCTGCCCAGCAGCCTGGGCTGGAGCTGTGGGCCCCCAGAGGCAGCGGGAAGGTGGTCGAGGATTATCCAGACACAGAACTCTGCATGAGGACTCCATCAAAGGCCTAGCTCCAGAGGGATGGTTCCTGGAAGGTAGCTGGACCTGGGGGAGAGGAGACCGAGGTGTTGCGTGATGCTGGGGGACATCCACAGTGGCCCAGGGCCTCCATGAAAGCCTAGCCCCGCACCTCGCCAGCAAGAATGTGGAAGGCTCCAGGGGGCGAGTATCTCCTTCAGGGATGCCACTTGGTCGGGTTCCAGCCTCTGGGTGCATCCTGTCCTAGGAGCCAGCCCCTGAACTCCCTGGGGTCAGAGCTGGTGAGGAAGGTCTCCTCATGTCCACCCGGCCCAGCCACACACAGATGCTCAGGATGGTGGCCACGGCTGCAGCAGGCACACTGTGATTGATATTCAGAGTTCATGCCATGACAAGGGCTGGACAGATGTGGCAGAGCCCCCATGGGCTGGAAATCCATTTCAGGAAAGACAGAAGGAGGGAAGGAAGGAGAGAGGGAGAGGGAGAGGAAGGCTGTTTTGACCTGAACCCTGGATTGCTAGAAGGACCCAAGCTGTCCATCTTGGAGAGTGAGCAGGAGAAGTTCTCTGTGTCCTTCCCACCTGCGAGAAGGATGGGTGCTAACTCTGCCCCCCCCCCAGTTCCTCCCAGTCCAGGTCAGAGAAATGGAAAGTAGCTTCCACTGATATCTGAGATAAAATAAAAGAAAAACTGCAGAAGCTCCCCAAGGGAGAGTATGCCACTTAATTATCCTGCAAGCCAACTGTGGGAAATAACCATGTTTATTTATTTAGGGCTTCTGGCCACTCTACGGTCTCAGGAAACCTCTGAGTCCTCATCCCACACTCACCTATGACCCAAGAAACATGGATTGAGAGCAGTGCATCTACCAGGCACTGGGACACCCCTCTGCAAGTTCCAAGGCCTATCTGATCATTCATTCAGTTGTTCAAGAATGCCTGAGTTCACTCACTCCTTCATCCAGCCACCCAGTCATTCTGCAGAGCTCCACAGAGCACTCCCTGCTGCCAAAGGGAAGGAATGCTCAGGAGACTCTTCCCCCATCTCCAGCCTGCAGCCTCCCTGCGCCTCAGGCGAAGCTTCGTCAGGGCTCTAGAGAATATTGTGGAAGACCAAGGGCTCAGGCCAAGGTTCACTAGAGAAGTTCCGTTCACTAGCGAAGCTCACTAGGATGAGCTAGACATCCTCAAAGATGCTGCTCAGAAGTGTCTGCTTCTGAGTGTGCTCCAGCTGTCCTCCAGGGTTAGACCCTTCACTTGGGAGCCACCTCGTGAAGAAGGGTACTGTGGAGTCCCAGTCCCTGCTCCCTCCCGGGGGTCTTAGCCCTGCTTCCATGTTGACCCAGCATCTCTGGGGCCTTGAGCCGAAACATCAGTTGGCCCCGAGTCAGCCAAGTGGAGGGTGGCATGTGATCTCTGCAGGGCTTTAACTTCCTCTCTGCCCAGAGCCTCCCTGGCCTCACTCTGTCCCGACCCACACTTCTTCTACCTGGTATCTCACTAGTTCATATGCCTGCACCGCAGCTCACATTTCCTCACGGCTCTCGACCCCTCCTTTCTCTTTGGCCCTGTTCTTTGATCTTGAGACTTTCAGGCCTTTGAATGGCCCATCAGTATCGCTAACTCAACACCTCAAAACGAATTTGTCCCCGGAGACCACCACATGCTTCTCCTGCATGGCTGGTTGCAGAGGTGGGCAGTGCTGACCTCCTGGTCCTCCCAGTAACACATGCAGGGGTCATCTGTGATGTCTTCCCCGATGCTCCAGAGCCTGACCGAGACCACTGCCCTGCACATCCACAGCGGTGTCCTATGGGCTCACCACTAGTGCTAAATCAACAAATATTTCCTGCAAGTCTCGTACGTGCAGACACTGTGCAAGAGGCTGGGAAGATGGAAATAAGCAAAAGCAGTATGGACCCCAGAAGAGAAATCTAGGAACTGAGATCACCCCTCATGGCTCCCCCAACCCATGCCAGACCTGGCCACGGAAGTTCAAGAAGAAACCCTCACCCTCAACCTCAGATCATGGGTAGCTGGAGAACTGGCTGTGGAAGCCCATCCCACCCCAAGCCTAGCTGGAATGGGAGTCCAGACAGGGCGCATGCGCCGCAGACTGTGGACCAGTGAAAGCTCTTCCCCTTCTGCCCTGTTTTCCTACCCACACCGCTTACTAAGCACGCTGGCGAGGGGTAAATGCATCCTTTGGCTCGAGGCTGCAGGACCATGAGGAGCTATATCTGGATCAGCCTGGGAGACCTGAGATCCTGGGCTTGGAGCCAGTTGGAGCCACTATATGGGACTCGTACTGCTGCCCTTTCTGGAGGGGACGAGGGCACTTGGTGTTGCTTATGGAATTCACAGATCACGTGGCACCGACATCTGTGCTTTACTTCTCTTTCTTTTCCACTAGATGGTGAGCTCCCCACCTAAGGGCTCCCAGCACCTAGCACGTAGTAGGTACTGAGTGGATGTCTGCTGAATAAAGGAATGAATGAGTGAATGAACGAATGAATGAATACCTAAATAATGTCCCTGCTCTCAACTTACCTATAATCAACGGTGGAGAAAACCACAGCTAACAAAAGATAATGCTGACATATCACATGACCTTCCATGGCTTTTGCACTCCTGAGCTCACAGTGGCCCAGGACACTCTATGTGTGGGGGCCCAGTTACCTCCTGGGCTCGGGTTCTGCTGTTGCCCCCTCCCTGGCTCTGTTCTGGCCACACTAGCCTCCTCGTGTTCCTTGAGCCTGCTGGCACCCTTCCCCTCAACCCTTCTGTTCCTTCTCCTTCCTGGAAGGCTCTTCCAGATGTCTGCATGGCTCCCTCCTTCACCCCTCTGCGAGGCTCTGTTCAAACCTCACTTCTTCTGTGAGCCTTCCCTAACGGCCCCCCCACCTATAACACTGTGACCCCAGCCCCGCATTCCCTATCCTCCTGCCTTGTTCTAAATTTCCTTCTAGCTGATGGAAGTGTCATCTGATGTTCTTTCTATGTGTATTTTGCTCAGTTATTTTATCTTTCTGACTGCTTCTCCCCACAAGAATATAAGAGTCACTAGGGCAGGGATGGTTTGTTTTGTTTAGTGCTGGATCACAACACCTGGAACAGTGCCTGTTGGTAGGATTCAAAATCAATGGCTAATGAATATGCGAGTGATGAGCTGTCATGACCCCGCTCATCCCCTTCCCCTCCCATACATGTGTACTTGGCTAACACATTACTTGGAACTGAGGTGGACCAAGTTGGTGGCAGGGTAGTTTCTGCTTACCTTGTGGATTTCCTTCCCACTCATATCTCTTGGCAGGACTGTTAGACACCGTCCTCCTGTCCCATCAACACCTTGATCACCCCCACAGGGGTGGGCACAAGGCCCAGGCTAGGCTGATCTATCACAGAGATTGGTGAAGCAATCATCACTTGACTCAATCTGGGCCAATCAGAATCCACCCTGAGAACTTTCTTTTCTTTTTTTTTTTTTAAAAGATTTTATTTATTTGAGAGCGAGAGAGAATGAGAGATAGAGAGCACGAGAGGGAAGAGGGTCAGAGGGAGAAGCAGACTCCCTGCTGAGCAGGGAGCCCGATGCGGGACTCGATCCCGGGACTCCAGGATCATGACCTGAGCTGAAGGCAGTCGCGTAAGCAACTGAGCCACCCAGGCGCCCCACCCTGAGAACTTTCTATAAGATGAGCTCTTTTTGTCATCACTGCTAAACCTGGGAGGCAAGTCCTCCTGCCTCCTACATGGAGAAATTTTGTTTGGAGAATGAAGAAGAAACAATCAGAGCCAAGAGCCAGAAAGAAAGAGCTATAGTGATATTATTTGGGGGTCCCTGGAGCTAGTCATATCTGATCCCAGTTCATCTTGGGGTTTTTTCTATCTGTTTATCTGCCCATCTACCTTCCTACCTACCCACCTGTCTTATCTACTACCCATCTGTCCCTTTTTTTTTTGCTTAAACTAGTTTGAGTTGACTATCCTCTTTAATAACCCAAAATTCAGAGATGTCAGTCCTTCAGACA